CTGTTTACAAACAAGCGTCTACCCATGAGCCTTTGCGATGTTATCGTCGCTTGGGACGCATGCGCAGGTGACGACCCTTCCGATTTAAAATCATGGCCATATGTAAACCATGCCATCCCAATGCATTTAATAAGTGATTTTACGTTCACTTTATGATCTCATTTATTACAAGAAAGCTGCAAACCAAATATCTACTGTAAAAATCAAATGGTTTCTATAATTAAATTTCAAAATGCCGATTTTTCAAATGGGAATTATGGAATTGAGGTGCACTTACATCATTACATATGTATAGCACTATTATTAAGCATGGAAATCCCCCCTCAAATATATTCATGTTTGTAGAATCCCATGCAATATTTCAAGGATCAAATTCATGGATAATGCAGCATCTCGTAGTGTATACAAAAATAGCTGACTGCCCTGCAGGTACATAACATAATAAAGATAATTTATTGCATCCTTAGAAATACAGTGTTTCCATCAGTTTATAGCAACAAAAGTAAGATATTAAAAAACAAAATAACAAAATAACTATAGCAAATAATAAATGATAGATTTTAGTGTTTTTGTTAAGTATCTTTCTCGTTTCTCATTAAGAACGAGCTGTGTATAAATTCTCCAACAAGTTTGATTACATTTGTGTTAGAATTTTTCATTAAGTATGTAAATTTCTGTTGGTCAGTTTTTGTTTCATCAGGAAACTGTATATTTGAGAATATATCCATTCGCAGTGTGTGATATTTTGGGCATTTGATGAGGAGATGCATTTCATCTTCTATGTCTGCTAAAGTACATTGTTTACAAATCCTGTTTTCCAAAGAAATTTTAGGTTGGGTATGTCTACCCTTTTCTATTGCTAGGCTGTGATTACTTGTTCGGAATCTAGAGACAGAAATTCTATGTTTTAGATTCAGTATAATTAAGTAACTTTCAAAGTTGTAGTTTGTTTTGAATTGAGTATATGTTCTCAACTTAGGTTTATCCATAATTGTCTCCTTCCAGAATTCAATATATTTTTGTTTAATATTGTTTCCTATTCTCTTTATATTTTGTTTTGTTGCATTCAATTTGTCATTGATATTCTTTATATCTAATGTGTTATCTTCCTTATTTAACTCTTTGTAAATTGACATAATCCATGGGAGTTTGCAGTTTATCTGTTCATGGTATGCCTGTTTTGTTAAATTACATTCTGGAAGTTCTTTGATCCGTGCCAAATACTTTATAAGATTTATTTTGATGTCTACTAGTAATGGTAGTTCACCTATTTCTGCTCTACAAGCTAGATTTGATGAAAATTTATTCAATCCAAGCATTCTTTTACTAAATTTCAGATGGGTTTTCTCGATTGGTGTAATGTCCCATTTATTATTTTCTTGAATTTCGAAGCCCCATACATCTGATCCATATAATAGTATTGGTCTTATACATGTTTTGAATAGGTGTAACATTGTTTTGCAGTCAGTTTCTTTTGGCACAGAAGTCATCATTGCATATAAAGCTCTTGTGGCTTTGTCTGCCAAATTATTTCTTGTGTCGCTGAATTTACCATTCGACTGTAATGATACCCCAAGGTAGTTGTATGAAAATACACAACTAATATTTTGACCTTGATATGTAAATTTTTCAGTATTTCTCAAGTATCCTCTTTTAAATATTACAATTTTACTTTTTGACATATTCACTTGGAGTTTCCAATTTTGGCAATATTTCTCCAAATTATTGATTGATCTCTGTAGACCTTTATTTGTTTCTGATATTAAAACTAGATCATCTGCATAAAACAGTGAGCTAATTTTGATGTTATTAAGTTGAACTTGATCTTTGTCATTGTTTTGTATTGGACTATTTAAGTCATTGACGTATAGATTGAAAAGCATTGGACTCATAACACATCCCTGTCTTACACCTGTGATAGTTTCAAATATCGGAGATATCTTATCACCAAAACGAATGCATGCCTTTGTATTCTGAATGTTTGTACATGCATGAAAACATACACAAACAGCACAGATGCAATATGGATAAGAACATGCAATTTTAAATGAGCTTTATACTTTACGCTGTCCAATACAATTGAATACAAATTATTCTGAACTAAACATGCAGCACACAATTAATTATTCATTCAATGAAATAATTACATTTTTCAATACACTGATTGTTTTGTTACAATTACAGTCGCTACACATGCATAAAAGTGGTTTTCGTATTTTATCCATTGAACAAAATCAACATAATAAATCATGATACAACTTGGTCATAATTATGCAGCATTGAAAAATATTAATACAAAATGCATGTTTTCATCCATATTACTTTTTTAAGATGAATATAATACAAGCCAGCACACAAAACAGATGTTGTAACAAGTTTATTGTAACATATCTATTACTATACATCTACCCAAAGTAATGTACATGTGTAGCTTTAAAGCATAAACAACTGTAACGCAGTACCTCACCATGTGAGGGCGCTATTACTAACCACAAGAGGGCGCTATCACAGACTAGCCTCTGCAATTTTATGAAAGGAAGACAATGTGAAAATCATTTAAGAGCTCAGCAAATGAATAAAACGAAAGTATCAGTGTTTTGTTTATTTACAGAGAGTACAACAAAACATTCATGCATTTGAACACCATATACAATGTACATTTATGAGGGAAAAATTTTAATGCGTTTATTACATTACCAACCATGCTGCACTAATAGAAGCGCTCGGAAATCAATATTATTTAGGTTCAGAGAAATATTTAAAAAGAATGTTTTATTTCTCATATGTGTGGGGATGTCCTGGGGATGCGGTCATTCTTATTTCAATAAGTCTGGTGGTCAACTATTTTTCTAACAGAGATTTTGGCTAATTAGAGAATCAGTCTGGAAATGAGGTAGAATGAAACCTGTACCAGTACTAGTGAACCAAACACAATATTAGTGAGAATGACCCAATTGTTATGGTACTGTGTATTTGTTGTATGTATAAACAATTTCTTTTCACACAGGTTGTATATCTTGCAAAAGACCCATGTCAAACAAAACACAACAAGACTGTTGCAGGTTTTGTAATTACTCTGTTAAGAAACTGTATAGAAATGTTAAAAGAAACTGCAAAAATATTTTTTAGGTCCATATTGATTAAAACCAATCCAAATCCAATACTAGCATTGGGTTTCAACGAATAACTCAGATTCACCAGATTGAATAGGTTGTGTTGGAACAAACCAGAGGTAGGCATGAATGGCTTAACAAGCAAAGGTCTGAAAGTTGCATTCCCACAATGCAAATTTGTGAAACATCACTCCCATAACAAGCTAGAGATATAAAGTTTGTGAAATTGGTATTATATTTGCTAATAAAATATGATGTATTAAAGTTAAATATCCTGCACTCACCATTTATCTTATTTTTAAAGCACTTGAAGGGGGGGGGGTGCTTATCCCTTGAACAAACATACCTAAAATTACTGGCTTCAAGGAAAAACCAAGCCCCCTTAACTCAGTGTCTACTGTTTAGAAATCTCGGTCAATTTAAGGTAGCGAGAAGGTTTTGTGACGTTGTTAAATAAAACATTCTCTGTCTGTTGTCTCGTTCAGAACAGTAATTTAGGTTATATATATCAAAAGACTAAGTATAGAGGTGCAAGTTCGCACAAACTGGACAGACAACTTAAATTAACATTCTGCAGTTAATTTCTCATACTCATCGACAATCTAAACATTTGATATAGATGAGGGAATGGTACCTGACAGTAGGAATGCAACTTAACTGCACCATAGTAATCGATCATTACACAAACAATATATTTTCACATGTTGTACAGGTCACATTGACCTATATCACACATGGTGCGATGGCAGACAGTTAAAAAGATGATAATCATATCAAAATGAATTCAAACTATCACCCCCCCCCTCCCCTCCCCACACACACGAAAAATCCATACTGGTATTCCAGACAAACCATAATTACTTTTTTTAAGAAATGCACATTTCTTATTTTTATCACTGTGCGATAACAACAAATGAGGTGCTTGTGTGGGCGCTTGACACACCATTGGCACTAAATGGCTTGTACGCAGATAATAATAATAATAATAATATATACAACTTGCTTTTGATTAAAATACGCTACATATCAAAATTCAATTTTTTGAGAACGGCAAAGTACATTTTTTTTTGGTCTTCAAATTATTTTTGATAAAAAGGACACACAGTAAATACTTCACAAAGTATATTTTCAATCACCATGGAGATAAACATTTTTCAACACAGCAGTAACACCATCGATAAACGTTCATGTACGTTCCGCTAAATATTTCAAAGCAAAACATAATCTGCATAATTAATATCATGAACACTAATTTTAGATTTTGCTCACAAAAACCTAAATTACATTTCGGCTACATGAATCTGTTTTTAGATACAACATGCACCCATTTTTTAAAAATGCTTTCAGAATCATATTTATTATTAAATCTGGGTTTGTATTTCACGTATCCATACTGAAATTCATAGGAACATAATTCAGCTAGCCATATTTATATTGCATAAATATAAAATGTAAAATGATGACATGATCCTCTGACAGTGTCAACGTCAATAAATACATAGAAAAAATTACAAAACGAATTCCCCTACTCAAGCCTATTGAAATTTAACTCAGCATTAAAAAAACCCACTTCACCTTGGTTTCAGAAATGTTAGGAAGTTAGATAAAAAATCTACACTTATTAAAATATAATGGGACCATCTATCCCATGTGAAACAGTCTTGAAGGGGGAAAAGGAGGGGATAGTAAAACAGCCATTCGTATTTAAAGCTCATGAAAACCTGACGTATATCTTTGTTTTTTACATTTATTTTTTTAAGTATTTAAATTGATCAAAATGATATCCTGCATGATATGTGAGGCTATTCAGACCAATACAAAAACAGAACGCTGAATTTTGACTTCAATGTGACCTTTAACCTATCAGTGTCGTATTTGTGGGGAGAATTTTGTTTACGCCTAACACCGAATAGAACAGAATTCTGCAAATATTTCTGATCGTTCTGCAAATAAAACAAACAAAAAAACTATTCAGCAATAGAGAGAGTTTTCATTTGAATGTTGACGTTCATTAACTCATCCACGTAAGGGTGTTCCTTCCAGCACTCCCGCTATGTAATCTTGAACAAATTTATAAACTGTTTCTGGCGTGATGTCCTCTGCTTCGTAGATGTAAATGAACTGTTCCGGGATATCTAGGATGGTGAGCAGTGGTACTTTGTCGTCCATTGAACAGAAATCTCTCACAGAATCCACAATTTCATCCTGTTTATAAACAAATACATAACTGTTTAAATAGAATGCTATAAATGGCAGACTTTAAAGCGGGGGAGTCGTCACCTGCACATGCTTCAGGTGGCCATAGCGTGTCATTGTTTACCAACAAGCGTCTACCCATGAGCCTTTGCGTTTTTAGCGTGTGTTGTTATCGCCGCTTGGGACTCAATTCCTGCGTGTGCACAGATGACGACCCTCTCGCTTTCGCTTTAAGTTATAGTTCTCTTAGCAGTAAGTTGATATTTTTTGAAACAAATTTTGATGTATCTATTTTTACAACCTACATACTTATCCTATGTTTATGTGCCTGACAACTGACTATGCTGCCTTTGAAGCAGCTGGAAAAGTTTTGCTAAACATATGAATAAAAAAAAAAAGATGACTTACGTCACCGCCAATGAAAAACTGCAATGGAGGCTCATCTTCCAATGCCTTGTACTTCTTGAGTATTTCCTCAGCTACTGGCTGTACAATGTCAGTGGCTGCAAGTATGTCTTGTTCTTCACCCTCTGGAAAGGTTCAAAAGATAATACATTCAGTGTACAATCTAAGAGGCCATTTAACTTAAGGGGGATTTTTAATATGGCTTTTTACAATGGCAAATGATGCAAGTGATGTCACCATTATTTGTTTTTCACAAGCAGAAGTTGTACATGTATAAGAAAAAAATTTCAGCATAGAAATGCTCATTAATCCTCATAGAGCAAAATCAACTTTGACCATTGACAAAATAGTTTCACTTGTCTGTTTTTTTTGACTACAGAAAATGTTTACAAAAATTTAAACATTTGTGAAGCAATGTCACATTACTGTTCAACAGTAATTACGGTTCAACATTGAGACTGAAATCAGAGAAAATATTTATTTTGAGCGGGAAAATTATTTGACACTCAAATGATTTAAGTGATAACAAACGACAAACCTACCAGTGAATAAAATAAGACATGCATCCTCATTTAGAATACCAGCAGCATATCCTGTCAGATTGTTCACTGCTTTTGGGCGCCACGGAAAATCCTGCAAAATGAAAAATTAGTTTAAAAAGTTTAAACATTGTCAAAAATAAATATTTTCGAAAAGGAGGTGAATGATTGTACAATGCCCATATGAATAGAACTCTGATTATGACCTCTGCATAAAAGCGTCATCTTCTGTGACAGGAATAACACTTTTTTGCAGTAATATTCAATATATTTTAAATTCAAAATATTGCTCACTTTGAATATTCAATTTTAATCTAATAAATCTTTAATTTCATAAGACGATTTCATAAATTTACTGGATTGCTCTGTTCTTACACATCTTTTTTTCAGTGTACACCGATTTTTAGTAAATCTTTGTCTGTAATGGGGTTTAAACACAAAACTATCTATTTTCAAGTGATTTATTTATTCCACCCTATTTCATGCCAAATAAGTCACTACCAAAGGCAATATTTCATATTTGATTCTGAGGTATTAAATTTTTTTTTTTTCAAATACACTATTATAATATTATTCATTCCAAAGAAAGACTGCAATGCGCCGATAGAACAAATCAATATAGAACAACCCATGCAATCAAATAGCACAAAACAAGATAAAAGAAATTCAACAAGACGTTTCGGGTCAGAACTCTTCAACAGCAGTGTCACAAATGACAGTGAGAGAACAAAGAAAAGGGTAGACCAATCAAACCAAAAGGAAGGGTCTGAAATCAATATTCATTCCAGCTGGTGATAGTCAGTTCAACCGGGAAATAATAGACTGTGCGAGTAATGCATTGTTCACTGTCTCAGCCATTCATAAGGAGAACTATTTTATTCATAGTTCAGTATTGATAACATGCAAGAATTGAAAAAAAATGATGTGAAGTAAAAATCAGCAAATTTGATAAATCGTCATGGAAATGTTTCCAAAAAAAAAAAGTAGGTCTAAAGGTGAAAAAGGTGTATCTGCACTTACAGAGAATTGTAAGTGTGAGAAACACATGGACGTGATCAGCATTTGTAAAATTGTCAAAACGATCTAAATTACGTGCAAGAAAACAAAGCAGAATAAACATTAGATGATTTGATTTATTATACAAATATCAATAGAGTAAAGGTGAGGTGTTAAACAAATTTGATATTCTTCAAACTGGTATTTTTTATAAATTAAATTTGACTTGTTTATACATTAAATACCCCCCCCCCCCCCAATACAGGCTACACCTTGTCAATGTGGTATTTCTAGTGTTTTTGGGTAGCACTGGAAATGTTCACTTTGATCGATTTAGAATATTCAAATACAGAGCTTATGACTATTTACAACTAACTGGCAATAATACCAATAAGACATTACTCCACACACAAACAAAGCAAACATGAAAATAAAAATATTATTTTTACTGTTAATTCTTTGTATTTACAAAACAGATGCACCGTGACAGTGACAAAAACAGATGTGCTGATGACATTATGTATTAAATTTGTTCTGCAAAGATTGTTTCCTCATAAGAAGCTTTCCTGAAAAATTGTCAAAATTTCCATTTTTGGCAATCATAATTTGCATTATGTGCCTGGTTTCCCACTTCTGATCAGTTGATCATACAAACCAGCAATAACCAACAATATTGCTAACAGTTGTGTAATCTTGATCCAGTTAGAAATAGTTAAACAAATTTATTTAGTTCCAGGGCAGAATAATAGGTTTTCTGGTGCCAGATATAAGACCTTTCTTCAGCCAATCAGGTGGCCAAATTCATATCTTTGAACATTTATAATTACCTTTCCGTCAGGATCTGATGACGCAGAACTCCTTCCATCTTTGGTGATGACCTCACCATTGGTATCCATGACAACCAATGATGGAATACCTGAACATCAAGATATAACACATTTTTTATTTTATCTTATATGCAAGACACCAAACTACTGAAATTATTGGATTAGTGCAAAAATTGATCATCAGATGCATTTTGTTAAATCAGTGAATGCAATAGAAAACAGGACACAAAGAGGCACTCATCAATTGCTTAGAGGGCGCTGCAACCCATTTACCCTGGGATAACACGATAAATGTAATAAAAAAACAAGACACAAGAGGGCGCTCATCAACAGGTAGAGGGCACTGCAACCAATTTACCCTTTAGATAACATGATGAATACTATGGTACTTATATTGAAGACATGATTATCTTTAAAGCTATGTAAATGGGATCACCTTAACTTTTCACAAGCTGTATACAACTTTCAGCAGTAGAAACAAAAATACAATTGGTGATGTGGATTACACTCCTCTCTCTCATCCATTCAACCATCAATTGATCAGCACATTTTTCAAGAAAGAAAAGACACTCACCGCTAACTTGAAACAGTTTTGAAAGCTGTTCGATCCTGGTGTCCCCATAGGGTACAGCTAGCCAGGGCATCGTACTGAAATACTGGTCAAATGATTCTTGACTACGATCAGAACTAACAAAGATGATTTCCATGGCTTTATGATCGTCTTTTAATTTTTTATAAAGTTCAATTAAAACAGGAGTGAAGGCTTTGCACGGTGGACACTGAAAATAACAATAAAAGTTTGAGGTTATCACCCGATGTTGTTTCTCCATAGCGCTGGTTGCCATGAGTTACACCATGGGCTGTATCACATATGAAATAATTATGAAGGCTTGTGTTCTGGTGTTGAAAATCAAATCAGCTAGGGGGTATTGGTGATGATATTCAACTGCACTAAGTGTTCCTATGATAATAATCAACTACAATAAAGATTCTGATGATGACAATCATTTCTGGCCAACATTGTTGATATTGCAACCAGCCTAGGGGGTACCCATGATAATACTAAAGCAGGTTAGGAGGATAGGTTTATGATTATCAACTCAGCTAAGGGGTTTAATGAAAGCTTTGAAGGCTCAATCTGCATATACATGTACATGCACACATTCACAACAAAGGAATTCAGTTCCTCATTTTGTCATTTGGTTTGCGCCACTGATTACTTTGATTCTGAATCCCAGCTTGTTCTGTTTTGTTTGTTTACATCAAGTGTTTTTGAAGTTTGTAATTATTTTCTTAACTGAATCATGGTAAAGCAAGATCACGACGAAGTGAAGTTTGTATCAGTCCAGATATGTTCAAGATATAGGTGCACGTACACACAAAAGTGAAATTATATTTTTGGACTTTGGGCAAACATCGTCAAAAAACAAATTGCAAGAAATTGCAACTAACCCAGTGTGCTGAGAAATATATGCATAATATTTTGTCTTTCATACACTCTATGGAAGTTTCTTCTTTTTTGTTGTTGACAAAGTTTGTTCCAATTATCTCTGTTGAAAAAAAAAAATAATCATTCACAATAATATCGACATGAAAAATTACAAAATCTAAAACATATCAAACATAATAGTAATTTAACGATTATAAACAGTTCCACTGATATCTCAAGAAACACTTAACAGAATTCAATGTAACTTGATACATTTCTGTACACATATGCTCTGAGAATACATTGCAGTCTATATATGATGAAACTTGGTACATGTATATGTGCTCGAAGATAATTAGCATTCATGGATAGTTACTGATTTAATGGGCGGTAGTCATCGCGCCACGCATGCGCAAGATATCTGGGTCTCATATAAACAAAGATGGCGACTTTGACTGTTGTGCAGATCAACAAGTGTAAACTGAGACGTTACAAAGCTTTAAATTAGGGATTTTCAGCTGATTGAAAGGTATCAAAGGAGTCACTGGAGGTAATTAGTGCAAGTCACACCCACGAACCTCATACTTGTGATTTCTATTAGAAGAGCGCATTGAATTGTGGGAAAATCAATGTTTATCAACACAAATGTTGCACATGCGCACCGCGACGACTACGACTTTTTAAATCTCTCAACACATTTGAATGAAACTTGCAATAACCTTACCTGAGAACGGTTTGGGTTTCCATGGATAATTGTTTCCATTCGGATCATCCATCACAACGTTTCTTCCATCGTCTGTAACCACACGTCCACTTGTGCTGTCCATTAACACAAAAGTGGGTATACCCTGAATTTTGAATTTCTTTGATAACTTATCCTAAAAAGTGAGAAAAACATGAGAACTGAGTTTGATGATTACACTAGCGTAATAACATGTGCGCCCTCTAGTGGCCAGTTTTACAAATGAGCAAAATACAATTCAGACATATAATTCTGTAATTTTATTTTTTTTATTTTGAATTAAAAGAAAAACAACAACATAAATTCTTACAACTTGACATTATTTTTTTGAATTACTGTGATAATGTTTAAATTAATGAAAAGATCAAAATCTAATAAAAAAATCGTTTTAGAGTTTAAGTAAAGATTATTTATTGTATGACTGAATAATATGACAGAACCCCACACCCTCCCCGTGGCTTTCGTTGCGTATGGAAGTTATTTTCACGAGTGATGCGGTGTATCCTGCGGCCGTACTTTCACGAGCGAAGCGAGTGAAAGTACAGCAGAATACACCGCATCTCCAAAATAAGTGACTGCCTAAAAGTACCATTACTCTTGTTCAAATTTCATGTCACTCGGCAAGTATATTCATGTACCCCAAGGGGAAAATATCGTACTTCTAAATATTGTTTATTCCGAAAAACTGTACTCCTGAAGGGACTACTTTGTTTGCTCTCGGACCTCATTTGCATATGGGTTGTGGAAATACCGATTTTGATTTCAGGGACGAATCAAAATAAACTGCAGTACATATGTAATAATAATGTATATGCAACAAACATAACTACATGAATGTATCAACATTCTGCACATTGTAGGATTTGGGGAAATGCCTTGGTTACAATCAGTGCAAAAAAAGGTCAAAAATGAAACTTGCACAAAGCAGGTCAATTTGTTGTTTTATTATAAGGAATTAGGCACACTCTGAAATTTTACTTTGGTGATATTTAAATTGTTTTATTAAACTCCGAATATTAACATATTTTAGAATTTTTGCTAAGTGTAGGTTTTTTTCTGGTATTTTTTAAGTTTATTCCTTAAAATGCATATGCATGTATTTAAAGTACCTCATCTAGCAATGGTGAGACAAAAGTAATTTTTATTAGCAATAAAGAAGAACAAAATCAATAATTTTCTCATAACTTTGGTGTCACATTCTACCTGTTTCAGGTTGAAAAAAAGAATATCAGAAGTTTGAAATGCTCACCTCAATATTTTTTTTTTTTAATTTCACCACATTAAAGTTGTTAAAATTGTCAAAATATTCAAAACATCGAAATTTCCGATACATTTTCACATCCACATCAGTAAATTTAGTTACTATTATGACTAGTATAAAGAAAGATGGTACTGCAAATGCCATTCATTATGTTACAACATAGCGTTAAATGGCTTCGTATATATGTACTACCGGTAGTACCTAAAATGGAACACTTTTCACGTGCATTCTTATTGTATGACAGAATGAGTGCCTAGACTCTCCTTACATCACACAGTGTTATCGTCCATAGATTGAGTTATTTAGCCTTTTACTAATAGTACAATGGTGGTACATGGTTTTGATTGACATCGTCACAAACCTGTCACTGCTGGTTTAGACCAATTCTACTTTTTATATAAGCATTGTAACATTACAGAAACAGAAATACAAAAGGTATTATTCTTGAATTTAACTGATAGAAGAAATTTATGTAACACTAAATATAACGTGAAAAAAAAAAAAATAGGTTAGGTTTATTTGAGAAAATGAGTGAGTGACAGAGTGAATGAAGCCTTCACTTATCTGTGATGATTCACGTTTCCAAATGAACCTTTTGAAATGCTGTAATCAGTCTATGAGTCATGGTGAAATGAGATACACATGTGGCAAGATACCGAAATTGATTAAATTTATATTTAATATTACTGAAAGTTGCAAATAAAAAAATAAAATAATTCATCAACTTGCTTTCAAAAAATCGGGAATAATTTTAGTTCGCAGACATAGCTGAGAGAAGAAATCTTAGAATATTAATTTATTTACTTAATGTAAGTTCAACAAAATTTGTATATTTGACAGTGTAGATGTCTTTGTTTTGTTTAATAGGCGAAGGAGGAGCACTTTAACTACCGTAATCTTATGAAATAATGCGTCAAATCACCTTTAACCAATCAAAGCTTGTGAAACATTTTGATCAATACTGCAGCCAATGAGAATGGTCATTACAACATTAGCAAAACAAGCAGTCTATCAGCTGAGATAGCTCTGCTGTTAGCAATGCACATTAGAAAATGAACAATATGTATAATATTAAAGCAATCAGACTTGTGGTTTTAAACAAGAAGTCGAAAATATCACTTTTTACCAAAAATGACCAAAATATTAATCAAAATTAGAGAATTAAAGATATCATTACGAAATGAACAAATCTGAGAGAGGTCCACATGTAGTACCTATATATGTAATATCAAAGCAATCAGACTTGTGGTTTTTAACAAGAAGTCAAAATATCACTTTTTACTAAAAATTGCCAAAAATATTCACCAAAATTAGAGAATTAAAGATATCATCATGAAATGAACAAATCTGAGAAAGGTCTACCTGTAGTACCGATGTAGTATATATTATATCAAAGCAATTAGACTTGCGTTTTTTAACAAGAAGTCGAAAATATCACTTTTTACCAAAAATTGCAAAAATATTCACCAAATTTAGAGAATTTGAGATTTTGACATTAAATGAACAAATCTGAGAAAGAACCATCCAAAGTACTTGCATATCAAATTTGAAAACATTCTGACACGCGGTTTCGAAGAAAAAATTGAAATTGTAAAGTTGACGACGACGGACAATCAGTAATATGAACAGCTCCACTGTGACGACAAAGTCGACAGCGAGCTAAAAATAGTAACAGAATGCATACAAATTTGCAAAATAATACACGAAAACGTAGGCTGAACACAATATGGTGCTTTAAATGGGAGGATAAAACAGCACTAAATTGTGTTATTTATTTATAAATTTGGAAAACCAATCAAGCAAGTTTACGAACCCCATTTGAATACTCAGTCCGACAATAATACCGAATACTATGTGTGTAAGACCGTATTCTACCAACCCCAATACCAAGTGTTCAGTCGTTTGTGAATTAAACCATTCGCTTCAAGGCAATTAACATCACAATCTCTCTGATGCACAAAAAAATAAAGCTACTGGTCAAGATTCTTTCACTAATAGATGCAACTTTTGGAAACCATTGCACAAGGATCCCAGACATGGTTGATGCCAGGATAATGATATGAAGATGTCCCAAAAATG